TGTCCAAGCTCGCCATGGCCGGCTCGCCATGTCCAAGCTCGCCATGGCCGGCTCGCCATGGGCCGGCTCGCCATGTCCAACCTCGCCATGGCCTAGCTCGCCATGGGCCGGCTCACCGTGTGCCAGTTTGCCATGGGCTGGTTTGCCATGGCTCACCATGACCCGGCTCCCCATTGGCCATCTCGCCATTGGCCAGCTCACCATTGGCCATCTCGCCATTGGCCATCTCGCCATTGGCCAGCTCGCCATGGGCCATCTCGCCATTGGCCAGCTCGCCATGGGCCATCTCGCCATGGCCCAGCTCGCAGTGCCCGGCTCACCACGCGATAACCGGCCTTCTCCTCGTCCTCAGGCACGGAGCAGGAGCTCCAGCTGGGTCTGTGGCAGGATGGCGGCGAACGCTCGGCCCTGCTCTTCATGCGGGAGACGCCTCGGCAGAGGTTCAAGGGCGGAGGCAAAGGTCTCTCCAGGTTTGCGGACGTCACTGCGGACGGGCTGCTGGACGCCGAGGCCCGGGCGCTCCTGGCCGCCCTGAAGGGCCGCCTGACCGCCCTGCCGGCGCCGCACAGCCTCCAGCTGCACGGCGTGGAGCTCAGCCGAGGCGCCGTGGACCCCAAGCTCAGGGAGCACGCCCGCTACCTGGACAGCGTCTGCCAGCAGTTTGTGGCGCACATGAAGGCTCAGGTCAGCGCGGCGGCGGAGGCGGCGGGACGCGGGAAACCCTGGGGTAGCACCGAGGGGCCGGGGGCCGGCTCAGAGTGGGAGGGGGAGGAGGAGAGGCTCCACGCCATCAGCCAGGGCCTCCCCCGCCGAGACCCGCTCCTGGCCAGGATCTGCCTGGCCATGTGGGAGAGCGCCGGCGCCCGCCACGGCCCGCTGGTGCTGCACGGCGCCGCCGGCATGGGGAAGACAGCCCTGCTGGGCCAGGTGGTGCAGGAGATGCGGCGGGTCCTGGAGGCCCGGGCGGCCGTGGTGGTCAGGCTGCTGGCCGCTCGCCACCCCCGCAGGCCCGGCCTGGACGGCGTCCTGCGCGGCGTCTGCCTGCAGGCGTGCCGGGCCTGCGGCGTGGCCCCGCCCCCCGGGCTGGGGGCGGGCGCCCCGGTGGAGCTTCTGTTCCGGAGCGTCCTGGAGCAGGCGTCCCAGCAGGGCCGCACGCTGCTGGTGGTCCTGGACGCCGTGGAGCAGCTGGACGCCCGCCACCACAGCCTGGGCTGGCTGCCCGCCGCCATCCCGCCCGGCGTGCACCTGCTGGTCGCCGTGGACACCAGCAGCGAGGCGTTTGCCCGCGCGCGGCGGCGGGCGGACGCGCGCCTCTTCGAGCTGCCGCCGCTGGCCTGCGAGGAGGGCCGGCGCATCATGGAGGCGCAGCTGCGAGCACGCCGGCGCTCGCTGAGCGGCCAGCAGCAGCACGCCGTGCTGCAGAGCTTCACGCCGGCCGGCTGCCCGCTCCAGCTCAGGACGGCTCTGGCCATCGCCGGCCGCTGGGCGTCCTTCACGCCGCAGAGCGAGCTGCGGCTGGGCGCCAGCACACAGGAAGTGATGTCACAGCTCCTGCTGTGGCTGGAGGAGAGACACGGGAGGGGGCTGGTGGGCGGGGCTTTGGGCTACATCGCTTTGGCAAGGTGAGACAACACTTCAAATAAAATAATTAAATAGATAAAATAAAATAAGTAAAATAAGTTAAATAAATTAAATAGGTAATAAATAAATAAATAAATAAATAGATAGATAGATAGATAGATAGATAGATAGATAGATAGATAGATAGATAGATAGATAGATAGATAGATAGATACATAAATAAACTTTTATGTCTCTTCTTTGAAATCATCAGAGATCATGCCCTCTTCTTCTTCTGTGGTTCCTCAGGGAGGGGCTGCTGGAGGCAGAACTGCGTGATGTCATGTCCCTGGATGATGACGTCATCAGGGAGGTGTACGCGCACGCGCTCCCTCCCACCCCCTCGCTGATCCGGCTGCCCCCCCTGCTCTGGGCCAGGCTCAGGCGGGACCTCCAGGACCAGCTGGAGGATCGATGGACTCATGGAGTTTGTGCCCTGGCCTTCAGCAGCCGGTGAGAAAGCTGCTTCCTGGACCCTAACCCTAACGCTAATCCTTGACCTGGTATCAGGGCCAGTTTGACCCGGCCTCAGGCCCAGTTTAACCTGGTATCAGGTCCTCTTTGACCCGGCATCAGGTCCTCTTTGACCCGGTATCAGGTCCCCCTTATCCCGACATCAGGTCCTCTTTGACCCGGCATCAGGTCCTCTTTGACCCGGCCTCAGGTCCAGTTTGACCCGGTACCGGGTCCCCTTCTTCTTCTCCTGCAGCGCCCCCTGTGTGTGTTTCAGGAGCCTGTCTGAGGCGGTCACGGCTCGCTACCTGACATCGGAGCGGCGGCGGCGCGGCCACGGCGTGCTGGCTGAGTACTTCCTGGGTCGCTGGGCGGGGAGGCTGAAGCCGGCCGCCCTGCCCGAGCTGTCCCTGCTGCTGGCAGACAGGAAGGTGGGAGCACACGTCTCCAAGCAACCGGGGTCCCCCCCCCCCAGATCCAAACAGGCACCGGACCAGGCCTGACCTTCTGATTGGTCCTTCCTGTCGAAGGTCCCGCCCCAGCCTTTGTGGTTTGCTCCGGGATTGGCTAACGTCAGGAAGGTCCAGGAGCTGCCGTACCACCTGCTGCACGCCGGCCTGTGGGAGGAGCTACGGCAGGAGGTCATAGGTGAGTTTTAACCAATAAAGTCAGATAGTCAGCCCAGTTTAACCAGGGTCTGATCCAGGATCAGGTTTAACCCGTCCAGTTTGACCCGGCATCAGGTCCTCTTTGACCCGGCATCAAGTCCAGTTTTACCCAGCATCAGGTACTCTTTAACCTCGTAACAGGTCATTTTTAACCCTGCATCAGGTCCTCTTTGACCCGGTATCAGGTCCCCCTTAACCCAGTATCAGGTCCTCTTTGACCAGGTTTCAGAACCAGTTTGACCCGGCATCAGGTCCAGCCTGACCCGGTTTCTGCTGTGTCCAGGCTGTGCTGACTGGCTGTTCTGTGCCATCCGGGTCTGTGGGGTTTCCAGACTGATCGAAGACCTGGACCAGTGCTCCCACCACATGGACTGCCCTGAGACGGGCCTGGTCCGAGACGCTCTGGTCCTGATGAGGCCCAGTCTGGACTCCCTGGACGGTCACATGGGTGGGTCCGGTTCTGGTTCTGTCCCCCTTTGGGGCAGAACCGGGTCAGAGCTGCTCCTCTCTCCTCAGATGGGTCTCTGTTTTACTCGGAGCTGCTGGCCCGCCTCTCCCCGCTAAGCCCCGCCTTCCCCGCCCTCATTGGCCAGCTCTGCTGCCAATGCGACGAGTGGTTCCAGACGTGTCCAGAACCGGTCCTCATCCCGAAGAGCGGCTTCCTGCAGCAGCCGGGGGGGCCACTGAAGCACACGCTGTCCGGCCTGCATGGAGGTCCGGTCACATGCCCGTCCCCTGGTCCTCCTCTGGTCCTCTGGTCCAGCTCTGGTCCTCTGGTCAAC